GACTAAAAAGAACAGACATGGTCAAAGGCTTAGTGATTCCAATGAAGCTTATATAACCAGAATGAGGGGTTCTATAATAACAGGGGTTTTCATCAGAGGGTGTCATAAAACATCAGGTTATCTTTAACCATTCCCTCCCCTTAAACATGCATTAATGTTAAGTCTCACTGATTCTACTTCTACAATTCTTGCAGTTCTCCCCTGCTTTCTATTCCTAATCCTACCTGAGCTTCATTATGTTTCCATTTGAGTCTTGATGTAGCTTCATAACATCAGAAACATCAGTGAGAGAGAAACCTTTAGTCTTCCTTCCAGTCCATTTCACCAAAATAATTTTTCTAAATAACTATCATGGTCATATTCTGTTTCAATTGTTTCCCACCATTTATTAAAGTTCCAAATTCTCTGTATGGTGATCAAGAGCCTCATGATCTAGTCATGACTTAGCTTTTCATTATTTTCCTCTACTGTCCTCCATACATCTTACTAGCTAATCAAAATGAACCCCTCAACATTTGTCAGTGACCTTATGCTTTCTTATTTTCAGACTCAGGTTCAGGAAGTTCTCTTACCTAGAATTCTCATGCCCATATGTACCAGCACAATTCTATCATTCTTCAAGTCCCAGACCAATGATACCTTAATCCCTCTAACAGATATAATCTCCTTTCTCTCTTAATTGCTATAAAACTATGCTTGTCTAAGACTGCTTACTGTATTATAGTTTACCATTATGTAGCTTAAGTCCCCTATTAACCTGCAAAAACCCATATCTTACTTTATTTTTGTATCCTAAGTACCTTGAATAAAACACTTTTAAAAAAAATCTGGTAAATGAATAAATCTTACAAGTATGACTTTCTATAGAAGACCACAACTTAGTGAATCCTCTAGAACAGAGGTTCTTAAATTTGAGCCAATAAACCCAAGGGAACTAACCAATTGACTTCAGATCTATGAGTGTCCTGAAAATGTTATGTGTATATACAAATGTAAGCATATTTGCACATGAATTTTTCTGGGTCAAAAGTCCCTAACTTTCATCAGATTCTCAAAGGGTTTTAGCTCAGCCAATGTGGCTCAGTGACTGGTTGACCTATGGACCAGTTGGATTCCAGGTCAGGGCACAGTTGGAGGGCTCGATCACCAATGCGGGTGTGCAGGAAGCTTGATTCTCTCCCATCACTGATGTTTCTCTCTCCCCCTCTCCCTTCCTCTCTGAAATAAATTCTTAAAAAATGGTTTTATATTTAAAAATTAATGTTTGTACAGTTACCTTAATCTAAAAAAAGAATTCTTACTATAAATGTTTTTCCATTTTCTAAAACATTTATAGATACAAAAAAAATCCAGTGAGATTTGATTCAAAATATCTGAAGTGTGGGATGGGGAGCAATAAATGGGGATATAAATGATACAATATTGGCCATGATAACTGTTAAGAGTAATTGGTTCATGGGAAATCATCTTATGAGTCACTAGACCTTTATACATGTTGAAAATTCCAACTTTATTTTTTAATGAGGGGGGGGGGGAAGCCCCCAAAAGGTTAAAAACATGGCTTGAATCAAACTTTAGAATTAAACCAGCCTCTCAGGAAGGCTCTGGCTTATGTTATTTGCTTTCCAGGAACTAGACCAAAGTCACACTGACTTATTTGAAGTAGAATAAAGGAAACATCATTTGCTGCTTTCAATACCAAAAGAAAAGTTTTACTAGAATCAAGAAGATAGTTAGGCTATCTAAATAATTAACATGCACTAAAATGGAGAAATATATGAGTTTGAGAACATTTTCTTATTGTGCTCAACATTGTATATAATATTAAATTTTAAGCTTCACATTTTTATTTTTATTTATTTTTAATATTTTTATTGACTTTTAGAGAGGGGAATGAAGAAGAAGAGAATCATCCATCAGCTGCCTCCTGCATGCCCCCTACCAAGGATCGAGACCACAATCCAGGCATGTGTTCTCACTGGGAAATGAACCAGCAATCTTTTGGGGCACAGGATGATACCCAACCAACTGAGCCACACCAACCAGGGCCTAAGCTTCATGTTTTTAGAAAGACATGAGTAATTTAGAGCAGATTCATATATACAACAAAAATGGTGAAGATAAATACTTCCTGATCTTATAATAGACTAGAGGCCAGGTGCAGGAATTCATGCATGGGTGTGGTCTGGCCGGCCAACCCCAATTGGGGCCTATCAGGCCAGGCTGGCTGGCCAGCGGGAGGGGACGCAAGCATTGGCTGGCCTGCCCCACCCACTGATGAAATTCCAGGGGCAATTTGCATGTTAGACTGTTACTATGTAGCACCAGAGGCCCAGTGCATGAAATCTGTGCATGGAGGAGGGGGATCCCCCTCATCCCAGCCTGCACTCTCTCCAATCCAGGACCCTTCAGGAGATGTCCAACTGCCAGACAACCCTCTCACAATCCTGGACTGCTTGCTCCTAATCACTCACCTGCCTGGTTATCCCACACAGCCTGCTGTTCAGTTGTTTGGTCATCTCTCACTAACCCCCCCTGCTGGCCTGGTTATATGCAGCCATCTTGTGAGGACATGAGGGTTAATTTGCACATTACCTCTTTATTATATAGGATATAAGATGATTTAGAATGGCAAAAGAAAGTCCTGGATGGTGTGGCTCAGTTGATTGGGCATCATTCTGTATACCAAAAGGTGGCAGATTTGATTCCAAGTCAGAGCACATGTCCAAGTTGTGGGTTCAATCCCCAGTCAGAGCCCATGCAGGAGGCAACCAATTAATGTTTCTCTCTCTTTCTCTCTCCCCCTTCCTCTCTCTAAAAGTAAAAAAATTAGAGTGGCAAAGAAGAACAAATGATCACCTAGTTGCAGACTTCAAATGTAGAAATACTGATAAAAATCTGTTCTCCATCTTCATTTATGAGCGTTCAACTGAAAATAGATGAAATTTTCTCATTTTTCTTTCTTTTTTTAAAAAAATATATTTTTATTGATTTTGTACAGAGAGGAGGGAGAGATAGACAGTTAGAAACATTGATGAGAGAGAGTCATCGATCAGCTGCCTCTTGCACACCCCCTACTGGGGATATGCCCGCAACCAAGGTACATGCCCTTGACCGGAATCGAACCTGGGACCCTTCAGTCCCCAAGCAGACGCTCTATCCATTGAGCCAAACCGGTCTCGGCCTAAATTTTCTCATTTTTCAATAGGAGTGAGACTACATGATTGTTAACTTCATCATGAGCTCTAAAATTCTGTGATCCTGGTGTTTTGGTGTTTTGTGTTTTTTTTTCCCCTTCGATGTCTTGGTTTTTTTTATAGATACATTACTTGAGAAAAACTATTCTCAACTATTTCTTTCCTTTTTTAAACACGTATAGCAAAATATTTAAATTAGGTATAAATATTTCCTTATTGTGGAAGCATTAGAGAATCAAATTAGAATTTATAAAATATCCATATTCCTTTTACTTTATCCTTCCTATTCTCTCTATCCCACGTTCTACTGATATTATCCCATTTAATAAAAGCCTAATATGCTAAGTGTCTGACCATTCTAACATTCACTATGATGTGCACTGACCATCAGGGAGCAGACACTCCAACTGGTAGGTTAGCTTGCTGCTGGGGTCTGGCCATTAGAGACTGGGTGAGAAGGGTCAGATATGCCCTGGAGCCCTCCCGTAGTTCCTCCAAGCCCTGATCATGCACTGGTGGGATCCCTCAACCTGGCCTGTGCCCTCTCTCAATCCTGGACCCTCGGGGATGTAGAAGAGCTAGGTTTGGCCCGATCCCCGCAGGCCAGGCTGAGGGACCCCACCAGTGCACGAATCCATGAACCAGGCCTCTAGAATTAGAATAGTTGAGTTGCAATCTAGCGTGGAGATAGAATGAGCAAGATGAATTCTTAAATTACTTTAGCCTGATGATGCTATGATTGAACTATTTCTCATATACCAAAGATAGAAAGTTATAGTGTAATGCATCCCTTGCACCTAAGCCCTTTACTGGCCCCCTTCTCAAATGCTAATGTGGGTAATTCTATCTCTATTAATTTAATGCTGACCTATTAAGTAACTGACAAAGACCAAAGGCAATCTAAAAACAAACAAACAAAAAAACTACCTGTTTGACATGAACAGTTTCAGAATTAACTCTAAATTTTAGAATCAAAAATTTCCAGCAGAAATATCACATCTAAAAACAGAAACATTTTCTAACATGTAAGAGGTGAGAAAAAACAGAGAAGATTATAGAACAAAATGTTTTCCAATCATGTCTGTACTCTCATACTCTTCCACATATGGAAGCTAAAGCATTGCCTTGTGGAAAAATTAACACAAAACTGGAAAAGGAAAATGTGATAAAGTAAGCTTAAGAATCCTGTAGAACAAGAACAAAATGTAGAAACAACACTCCTTAAATAGCATTTATGTTCTCTTTAAAAGCCTATTAAGTATATACCAATAGATATCCTTCTAAATTATTAGAGAAGCACTACTAAAATTGCATACATACATGTTTTTATATGAAATATTGTTTGAACCTGAATTTTTCTTTATTTTTCTCAGAGTACAGATCTGCTATAAAATGACTAACACTACCCAAAACAAGGCCTATTAATTTCTCCCATGAATTGCTGTGACATCTCCAAAATTGTTCAAACATCCAACAGTGTCTTTTACAAAGCAAAGCTATCCCTCTACACCTTCATAAAAGATTTAAACTAGAGAAAAAAAAGATAGAAAACCCAACAGCTGAAGACAACATTGGGCTATTTATAAGTCTTCTCCCAATCCCCCAGATACACTCCCATGGAGGCTGTAAACAGCTACGTAACTAAAATATCTCTGAGGCCTTCACATCCACACCCACTGACACAAGTAGAATTGTACCCACAGTGAAACTAGACTTCAGCTTCTTTAGCAAGTATGTGCCTGCAATAGTAAACTGGAGTAAATGTAACAGTAATAAAACAATTTTTTAAAATTAAAATTATACCTTTTTCTCCAACAAATGGTAAAGACCATGTGAAGACATCCATAAAATTGGGCAACCAGTAAGGATGTGGAGAACAGTTAAATTGTCGAATATTCATCACATTATTTTCATACTTTAATACAGCAGCTGCAAGATAAGTATAAATGTCAAATGTAACAATTTGTGTTTAGCTCCAAAAGTCTAAAACATATAAAAGCAGGAAAATATCTTTTTAATGGGGTGAGGAATCAAGGATAAATAGAATGAGGGCTTGGAGAGGGAAGTAAGCACTAATTTTTAATAACACTTTTTTAAAAACATTTTTATGTAGAGCATAGTCAGATTTTATTATTAATAAATCTTCTATTCTTTTTCAAATGTTTGTTTTACTTTATAGTCCAATGATAAATATGCACTTTTATTAAATCCAAAATTGTGAAAACTCAATTTATAGAGGAAACACAGAATGGCAATGAACAATTTTCTAGGTTTAAAAGTTCACTTAAGTTATAGAAATTTAAGAGGGTCTTTTTAGTAGTAGGCAACCTAAAAAGGATAGCCGAATGGTAATAAAGAAAAACAAAACAGAAAACAAAAAAATGTAGTGAAACATTTTATTTATAAATGTAAATATACTTATTTCATTTAATATGAAAAATCAAGTGAAACTACTACAAAAAAAATATTCACTTCATTTAGAAAAATAAACACAACCCACTAAAGTACCAGAAAAGGGAATATTATAACCAAATAACTCAAAGATAACATACTCATCTCAATTTTAGTTATCTTTCTAATGTTTCAATATGTTAATATAAATAATATCTTAAATTAATTGATTTATGTTAGATGGGCTAGATTCTAATCTAAGCTACAATACATACTAGCTTCACAATGCTTGGTAAATTATTTAATTAATCTATTTCTCACTTATAGAAAGGACTAGTATGTCCAACCTGCCTATCTCAGAAGTTTGTTTCAAGATCAGAAAATAATGTATTTTGCATGAAGATATATACAAGTATTAAAATACTTTGCAGATATTAAAATTATGTGGATATATTTTTTTCATTTGAATAAAAAGCACAGAAATGCAAGTGTTAAATTCCAAGATTTGAGATTCTGGCTAATATAGAATCACAACTAACATGTTTGTTTCTTTTATGAAATTCCCATGAAATAAAAAGTATTTTAAATTTAGCCTCAGAAATTAAAAGCTGATACCAAACTTTCAGCTTAAAAAAAAAAAAAAAAAAAGGAGAATCTAGAAAATTGTCTTACATAGAGAATGAAACATTACAAACATACGCATACCACATAAGCACTCAAATCATTAACACTATGTACAGACTCAAAACTACCAAGAGACATTTGATTTTGACAAGACAGATTTAATGGTTTGAGTTTCTTTTCTGAGTACTAAGAAAAGTGATCCCTTAACCTCCTGAGTCAAACTGGCAAAGGACAACTGGAAGGTAGCAGTCAAACGAGCACTGAACACCAGCTTCGCTAATACTGACAAGGGGAAGTCACAACTGAGAAATGAGGGCACTAGAAGAAAGTTAAATGTGGCATTTGATTCTGTTCTTGAGAATGTAATCAAAACTTAAGATTGGCTTCTCCTAAAAGATGAAGACATACCTCATTAGGTATCTTTACAAAAGTTTAAAAATTTACAAAGCAAAATATAATTTTAAATATTTTAGCACTGGCATAATTGTTAGAGGCTGCATTGATACCAGCTTCTAAAGATGAGCAACTCAATTAACATAAATAGTTTGGCTGATTTGATAATTAACATAGTATTAAGTTCCTGCAGCACATTCTGCACGAAAGTTATTATATAGCATTCTACAGTTGACCACCTCTGGCAAATGTTTTAATCTTTTAACCATCACCTCCAATCATCCAAAGAACTCTTTCTCACTCTGTTCCTCTCCTGAACTCACACTAGGACCCATATTTAACAATGACCTCATTATCTCTCTAAATGTACTTTTATAGTCTGTTCTTTCTTCCTGGCACATCCACTCCAGTCTGATCCTTGAAACTATGGCATAGTACACTGAATTCCAGACACATCAAAAGAGAATAGGAGCTGACTTAATATCCTCTTCTGAAAATGTGAACTACGTAAACATACCCACGCTAATCTTCAATGACCTTGGCACACACTTAACTAGATTAAAATCGTTTGATATCATCTGTCAAATAGTTGTGTTCAAAGTTAAGTGAAACCCAATTACTATTATGCATAGATCAAATTTGAAGGGAAGGTGGGGGAATGAAAACCAATGGAATAGAAAGTTAAAAAAAAAAAGATTTTTTAAAAAAAGTAAGACAAAACAATAAAAAGAAAGGAAAGGGAAGAATGTATCACTGAAAGGAGATCTGAGCAAATTAATCAAAGAAAGCTCAATTACAAATCTTCATGGGGCAGTGATTAGACTGTGGAGGTAAAAGTAGGAAATAAGAAAGGGAAAGAGAACCTAGATCAGTGAACATAAAACAAGAAACATGATAAATACACAATATAAATACACACAATGGTCAAAGCAGCAGCAGTAGCTGTATGTAAATAAGAAAACATTCTCTTGATTATAAGGGGAAAGATTTAAGAAAGGGAAGTTTGAGAAAAATCATATTTCGTTTTGCTTGATGTACTTAACTCAGCATTCTTTTACAAGACAGCTTTGTAAGTAACATGTTGTGCAATGGTACATATGACTTAAGTTTTACATTTTGGATTTTTATTTCTTGATCTCACCCCTCCCTTATATCTTATACTTTTTTATAAGATTTGGGTAATTATAGATTCAAACAATGCCCGCTTTCTATTATATTTTTTAAAAATAAGTTAATTAAAATGCTAAGTTGTTTAACAATTTTTTTTATCAACAACATCTTACCTTTATTATTGTAGACATCTAAGTAATTAGGTGCCGAAAAAATTGTTATTAATGAAGGGAACCCTGTAGTTTGACTTTTTCTGTACATTCTATAGCTGCAAAACAAATAGCTTAATATGCATCGTAAAGCATCAATCATTGTTACTAAGTTTGATTTGTACATAAGGTGTTAATTTGGGTCAGGGAAACAGAATTCTTACCCTGCATCTTGAGCTTCATGAGCTCTAATAATCGATAACAAATTATTGTTTTGCAAAAATTCACATACTGCTGGATAGCTGTGGGGGGAAAAGAATAAATTAAGTAAAATAATGTTTTCTATGTGAAGCATATTCTATTATAACAACTAAAATGTGATTAAGCTTGGATATTTTTCCTTACTTATAAAAATAAGAACATCCTCGAACTGTATTGTGACTAAAATGTTCCTGTGATTTTTCATTTCCAAAATCTTCAGAAGGATCAGACCATAACAAGTCACACATTGGTCCAAATGCAGGTGGCTCTTTAAATCTATCTAACTGTGAAAGAAAGAAAAGAAACAAAAAACAGAAATAACTTGTCAAAAAGTGGGAATACAATAGACACAGGATAGTGATACCAACTTTGAATACTGTCAATACCACATTATTTTAAATGGTTAGAAAATACTTCCTTAAAATATCAGTACACTAATTTTTACCATACCTAACATTAGCAGTGAAGAGAAGTTTGAAGTATCTATTTTCTACCCAACAAAGCACTAAAGATACGAACCAACCCTGGAATTAAATTATGTACTCACTCTCCTAATGTCATCCAGTGTGTGGATTTCTGGTGAAAGCCCACCATGAACACAAAGAAATTGTTGGTTTAAAAGTGCAGCAAGAGGCAGGCTATCAAAAGCTTCCATACAAGCTTCATAGACTCTTTCTGAATATTTAATTTTACCTAGAAAAAGAAAATATTAAATTGAAAATTACATTACTAGTTTATCATTTTTGAAAACATGTACACTTGAATATTAACACAAAGGCAAGGAAACTAAAGACAGAAAATAGCCAAGTGGTGACCAGAGGTTGAGAACACGTGAAGGGGTAACTATAAAAGGCAGCAAGAGGAATTTATGAAATGATAAAACTTTTCTGTATCATGACTGTGATGATGAGCAGCGCTATGCATTTGCCAAATCTCAGGATTAAACACAAGAAAGAGTGAAGCAAGCATCTTTCTCTATAAAAATCAACAAAGATAATGTTATCGGTCTTATACAAAATATTTGCTCTTGTAAATTTATTTTGAGTATGCAGCAGATATCTCTAAAAATAGTTCAACCCTTCACCGTTTAGGCCAAGTAAAGCAAAATTAGAACTACACTTAAAGCTAAAACAGTTTTAATATTTTAAGTGTCAGTGATTACTTTGTTGTTATAAGCGAGACTACAAAATTCAAGGTCAATCCAATTAAAAAATAAATAAAAGAAATATCTTTTCATATGTTGAAGAAACAGAGGTGTTCCTTAAGTTCATAACCAAATGCTTAAAATGGGCAGGGAAGTCAAAAGTCAATAGAATACAAGACAAAACTTCACTTTTCAAACTTATCATTTACTTTAAGATAGCATACACATTCTTTTACTCTTATGCCTTTAAATGCCTAGAAAGTTTGTTTTTGGTGGAATTTTGGCAAGTGGTTTATTAATTATCTAAAGAGGCAGAACTTAGTTCCTATTTTCCTTATTAATATTATAACATTCAAATGAGAAAATCTATATCCAGCCCACCAGAGGTCCTAAACTGATAGTCTATTAGACCTGTTTTCCAACATTATCCTATATAATAAAAGCCTAATATGCTAAGTGTCTGGTCATCTATTCAACCAATCAAAGCATAATATTTAATGACATGCAAAGGCCGTTCAACTGCTTGCTAGGATGTGCACTGACCACCAGAGGACAGACAGTTGACCAGTTGACTAGTCACTATGACATGCATTGACTACCAGGGGGCAGACACTCCAAATGATAGGTTAGCTTGCTTCTGGTGTCTGGCTGAACAGGACTAAGCAAGATGGGCTGGACACACCCTGGAGCCTTCCCATGGTTCCTCCCCAGCTGGCCAACCTCCCCTATCCCTCCCCAGGCCCAATCATGCACTGGTGTGGTCTCTTGGCCTGGCCTGCACTCTCACAATCCAGAACCCTTCATGGAATGTCGGAGAGCTGGTTTCGGCCTGTTCCTGCAGGCTAGATCAAGAGACCCCACAGGTGCACAAATTCATGCGTCAGGCCTCTAGTGGTTTAATAAACATTTTAATTTGATTGCTTGGTTGCTTTTAGGACAAATTTTAATTTGATTGCTTTTAGGTAAAACATGCACGTTCTCATCTGCCTGATCCTTGAAGTTATATGATTTTGCCTCATCTGCCTTTTTCTTCCTTTACTGTAAGTCTCTACTAATATGATCTTTACTGGATCATGTTTGAATCTCAATAATTCTGAAACTACCTATTTTTAGAACTTAACTCTAAGGCTTAATTATTAACAACCATACGGCTATAAGGTGTGAAAATGGCCAAACGTTGTTCTACTCGAAGCCAGGTGCACGAAACTTGTGTATGGGGGTGGGGGGTATCCCTCAGCCCAGCCTGCATCCTCTCCAATCTGGGACTACTTGAGGGTGGGGTGCTTGGCCAGCTGGGTGAGGGGCTGATGGCTGTTTGCAGGCTAACCACAACCCCCCAGCCGGGACCCTCACCTCATGGGGGTGTGACCAGCCTGGGTGAGGGGCTGAGGGCTATTTTCAGGCTGGCCACACCTCTGGCGACCCAAACTCCCAGCCCCTCCTTTTTTTCTTTTTTCTTTTCCAGCACCTCCTTGAGCGGAGGCCACTAGAGGCCTGGTGCATGAATTCGTGGTCCCTCCCCAGCTGGCCAACGAATTCATGCACCAGTGGGTCTCTGGATCTAGCCTGCGGGATCGGGCCGAAAACAGCTCTCCAACATTCCATGAAGGATCCTGGATTGTGAGAGGGTGCAGGCCGGGCAAAGGGACCCCATCAGTGCTTGATTGGGGTTGGGGAGGGACACAGGAGGGTCAGCTGGAAGCAGGTATCTGGGATTTATTTATCTTCTATAATTAAAACTTTGTAGCCTTGAGCAGAGGCCAGGGCTGGCCAGAGTGAGAGGGAAGCTTGGCTTCCTCTATCACCAGGGGCAACCCAAGCCGCTTGCTCACTCCAGCTCTGTGGCTGCCGCCATCTTTGTTGGGTTAATTTGCATACTTGCTCCTGATTGGCTGGTGGGTATAGCAGAGTGGTGGTCAATTTGCATGTTTCTCTCTTATTAGTGTAGATACCATGTGATTTCTTATAACTATTTGATTATCACTGCTATAATAATTTAAGAGTGAAATAGGGTACACATTATAGGCTAAGAATGCCAATTCATTAATAGCATGTTTCAAAAAAAGTGCAATGATGACAGGATGAATAATTTGTTAAGAAATTTCATAGGAATGCCTCAATATTGGGGGACAAAAATCTCCAATGCAACAACAATTTCTTTTTAGTTTTATCGTCCCTGTTACCATTACTATATATAAGTAACTATATATAAAACTCAAAATTGTTCTTAAGGACATATGTTAGAATAAAATGCCATTAAACACTAGAAAGTTCTTGACAATCTTCCTCAATTCTTTACATGTTTGTACACAAAATCTGTTCTTATATATTTCAAACTCTTACTATCCATGTCACCCAGAAAGAATGAGGAATTTAAAATATTTCTGATGGCAGTACTCACATTCCTGCTTAAATGTAAAATATTCAGTAAGGTGTCTGCATTCATGATTGCCTCTCAGAAGAAATAATGTGCTTGGGTATAGTATCTTCAGGACCCATAAATATAAGACACACTGCAAAAGAAAATGTTTCCAGTGAATTTATCTTATATTTTTGTTTAACTTAGTTGCTTGATCATTGCTCCTTTCCCTCTAACCTTATTACACTTACATTCTCTATTACTCATTCTTTTTTTTTCTTTGTTCCTAACAGAAATGTAAACTTCTAGAAAAGTACCTAGCAAACAATAAAAGATCAATAAATATTTGTTGAATGAATAAGTCAAATAATCTATTTACTTTAGATTTACAAATTGCTGTAAAAACAATTAGCAGATTGGTCTCTTTCTTAGGTAGATCAATAAATAATAATGTAAGAAATTATAGCAGCTAACATTTATTGAGTACTTACGATGTATCAAGCACTGTAAAATTAACCCTATGATATAATATTATCTCTATTTTACAACTGAGGAAACTAAAGCAGAGTTAAAGTAACTTGTCCAAAATCATGAAACTTGTAAGTAATGAAGAAAGAATTCTGATCCTCTGATATTAAGCATTAAGCCATGCTACCTAATGACAGAAATAGCCACACTTACGTTTATTTTGTATAGATTTAACATAAGAAACAGTCACATTTTACTTATTTGTATAAAAAAAATAAGGAAGGACTATTTACTATAGAAATAATCTTGATTTATATTACATATATAAAAAAAAAAACCACACTTTATTTTTAACAAGTTAAGGTCTACTGAAATGTGTAACTATTCACACCTTCATTTTATTCACAAGAAAAGAAGAATTAAGCCAGAAAAATACTTATTTAAAAAATATTTATTAAAGGACTACCTGTCCTTCTTGTGTATTTTGATACTTTGTTATTTTCCTTTTATAACAATAAAATGTATTAAGAGTCAGCTACAGGGCATACACACTACCATGTTCAGTTACCAACTAAGTTTCCTAAAAATGTTTATTGTTTTTGACAAAGCCCCCAGTCTTTTTGTTAAAAACTATTATCTGTTTTTCTTGAAGCTTTGAGGGAAGATTGAACAGACTGTCAAATCTCAGAAGGAAGGTGGGGGTGAGTGGGTGGGAAGAGATCAACAAAAGAGCTTTTATTACATATGCATAACCCATGGACATAGACAATAGAGTGGTGAAGGCATGGGAGAGAGGAATGGGGTGAACTAGAAGGGGCCAATGGGAGAAAAAAGGGGATGTATGTAATACTTTCAACAATAAAGATTTAAAATTTTAAAAAACAGGAAAAAAAACATGATGCTTTAAATTTATATTTACTGACTTGGAATACATCGCAGTGTGTGAAAAAAAGCTAGTTACAGAAAAATATAATATAATCTCATTTTCATTCAAAAAAGGAGAGTATAATATATAAATGTCAAATTATGTTATTTGCCCGAAATATAATCTTATAAATTTTCAAAAAATTTTAAAAGGAGATATAAATATTAGAAAATACATACTGTTCTATTTTAACCTGATTTTATTTATATAATTAGAAAAGGAAAAGAAAAAGAATCATCTACCATTAAGTGATAATCAACAGGTCATTTTAATGCCTCTTAAGTTTTTAAAAACAAATGAATAATTTCAGAATACACAGGATTCCATATGATATATTAGGGGTCTTAAGAGCTATAGGAGGAGGAAAAGAAGTACTAGGATTTAAGCAATAAAAGCATTATAATGTGCTTTATTTAATCAGAGAAAATTCAATTACTCTTCTTTCACACAGGTTAATACCTTTAGGGCTAAGAGAGAGAAACAGCACTAACTTCTTTTTTTTTTTTTTAATTATATTTTATTGATTTTGTACAATGAGGAAGGGAGAGATACAGATAGAAACATCGATGAGAGAGAGTCATCGATCAGCTGCCTCTTGCACACCCCCTACTGGGAATATGCCCGCAACCAAGGTACATGCCCTTTACCGGAATCGAACCCGAGACCCTTCAGTCCCCAAGCCAATGCTCTATCCATTGAGCCAAACTGGTTTCGGCAGCACAAACTTCTTAAGGCTACTAGATAACAGGGCAATACAGACCCCTCAGTTTGCTTATAATTTCCAATGAGAAAAAATAGCAATTATATAAACAGAGTAATACAGGAAAAATTAAGATATTATTTTGAATAACAGAAGAGGAATAAATAATCACTTCACCTAAAAACTTCAGATAATACTGAAGTATTAAAAAGAACCCAACACAGGTACTTTAAGAAACTTATTTTACTAGGAATTAATGAAAATCATCTATGATAACACTTGGAAGCAAAACAGTACATGATTATTACCTCTATACTGAAATAACCTCTGTCCACATAATCACCAAGAAAAAGGTATCGTGTATTAGCAGGTGATCCTCCTACTTCAAAAAGTTTCATCAGATCAAAAAATTGGCCATGAATGTCACCACACACTGAAACAAGAAGATTATTAGATATGGGAAAAAAATACTCTAAAATAACAAATTTTACTTAAATTTTAATTTATTTTACATAAGAGATAGTATAAATTCTATCAAGAAATGTCTAAGAAGGCAGACATCTGTGAAAAATCATGACAGGGATGATGTGTACCTATGCTCAAGATATAGAACAAGATGTAACAAAAGTATAAAAATAAAAAAAAAAGATGTAACAAAAGTAGTAAAACTTAAAGCCAGCAACAAAATTTTCATCTATATTTTATAAAGCTTCTCTTCAGAAAACCAACCATGTGTGTTTTAGGATGACAAAATTATAATGATGGCAGTAAAAACACCAATCTAACTCAATACTTTCTGTAGACTTCTAAATAATTATCTTTAGTATCTGATATGATATTTAGGCATTTGTCCCTATAGACGGAAAGCAAAGTAAGTATTTGTTGAATGAAACTGAATTATGGCCAACACAACTAATGAAACCTTCAAAATAGCATATTAGACTAACTTCTGCACTCAGATTATTTAGGATTATATTTATTCACTGAAAATAGGGAAAAACTTTTAAAAATAACGTAATTTCAAGATAATGGCCATGTAATATTAATTTAGTATATGCTATGATTTAAAAGGAGAAAGCTCTATATCAAGGCAATTAAATAATGCTATGATAAAAAAGTAATATCTAAAACATAAATAAATGTACCTGTAATTGGAGCCTCTACTTCTATCATGGTTTTCTCTCTCCGAAGGATGGCAGCACCCTCATTGATTATTCTAAGTGCAATTTCTTCATCTACCCGACCTTCTTTTACTAAGTGGTTCTTCAGAACATCAACCCGAGGTATCCCATCCATATCAAATACTTCTTCAGATGTCAAGCGATGTGTTGGAGGGAAAGGGACAGCTGCAATTTTATTATGATTAAGAAAAAAATAAATCACTATATATTATATTAACATAGAACTAATGAATAGATAGAGGTAAATAAGAGTAAAAAATAAAAAGGTTCTTGTTCTTCATTTATTGAAGTATTAATTTTTTAAAAGCCTTTTAAAAAGAGCTATCAAAGTATACATATTTTTATTAATCTGTATATATAACAATTTGTTTGTTGAGAATTATTAGAGAAATAAATTGTCTCACAAAATTTAAGTTCTTTCAGGATAACCAAAACTTTTTTCTTTAAGATAAAACTTTTTTTTTTTTTTTGGCAGAACTCTCAAAATATATCATTCACCCTTCATCTTATATTAAGTACAATAAATATAACTTAATACTATATAGGCCTGAATAGACAGAAATCCAAAATATAAGGCGATCCACCATGTTTCTAATAAGAATATAAAAAACATTGTTTCCTGGCCAACTTGAATAGAAACTTTTAAGGATATAGATAAAACAGCCAATGCTTTCTTATGAAATTTAAATTAATTTAGATGCATGTATAGACTTCAAACATTAATAAGTCATGACAATTTTGAAATACTGCTTTTCTCCTACCTTCATGTTTCACAAGCCACACATTTGAAACAGTTATACACCTTTAACATCAGTGTATTCCTTATCATTGGAGACTTTTTTAAGTCATCTAATACTTCTTAAAAACAAATTATCTTCACTCCCATTTAAGTTCTTTTTGAGAAAAAGCACTTTTGAATATATGTAACAAGTAATCATTGAAAATTTATCCTAAGCTACAGTCTTTACTGAAATAATTGGCCTTTTTACTCCTGTGTACTAAACATATATGTACTAAGCATACATAAAATAAGTAATCACCAACTATACTGTTTGAAACTGATGTTTTTAAAATGGAACAGAAAACAGAAAGGTATACTTTCAATGGTATCTAGCACAATTTGAAGGCATATATCTAGCAAAAATTACTACTATATATCTGTGTTGTTTATTTGATTCATTTTTCACTGAATCCAACAAGTGAGTTCTTTATGCATTTAAGATCACTGAGGTTGTTTTAGGCTTTTTATCAAATACTATTTTGTTTTTCAAAAGAAAGAAAAATTTATAGAAAGTCTACATACAGCAGACTGTTAGGCAGCTTCCTCTTTTCTGAGCTAAAACTTTTTTGGGGGGGAAAAACTCATATGCCTATACAGTTTATAGTATTTCTTGATGTTTCATTGTGATTAGCAATATATATATATATATATATATATATATATATATAAAAAGCTCAGCGACTGGAATGGCAGAACAACAAGAACTACCAGTGTCTATGATTCACACTGTGGCAGCCAACCAGCCTGATCTGGGCCTGATTGGTCCCTCTCCCCTCCCACCCTGCTATTCCCCAACACCCCAATTGGGGGCAGGGCTGGCAGGCCAACTGCCCATAGCCCCTCCCCCCAAGAGCCCAGCCCAATGGGCCCCATTAGAATGGGCTGGCTGGACCCCACCTGTTATTATACAGAAGACTGGAAATATATAGGAACAACTGCTTCTTCATATTTCATAACTTGGAGTAAGTAAAGACAGGGGGCTGAGCTAGAATTACATTAATACAGAAGGAAGAATAATAAATAAGCATGTTCTCATACAAGGGAAAAAAAGAACTCAATCCTTTAAAAGTGCATATGAGGGGAAAAATTTTAGGAAAAAATCCCTTAGAAATGAGATAAGAAACTGATGTAGAGGGATTGTCATCCATTTCTAAAAGATTCTGAAATCACCAATCCCTCTTGCTTTCTTCTTTGACACTTAGTAAAACAAAACTTGAACTTGTTTTTCCTTGGTTAGAATACACTTATTCCCATTTCTTTTTTAAAATATATTTTATTGATTTTTAACAGAGAGAAAGGGAGAGAGAGCGCTAGAAACGTCGATGAGAGAGAAACATCAATCAGCTGCCGCTTGCACACCCCCTACTGGGGATGTGCCCGAAACCAAGGTACATGCCCTTGACCTGAATCGAACCTGGGACCTTTCAGTCAGCAGAACGACGCTCTACCACTGAGCCAAACCGGTTTCGGCTCCCATTTCTTTTTACTACTACCTGGAACAGGCATTAAATACATTTTATTCCCCCAAATATACTATTTCTAGATTCTAATAAAATAAAAACCACTGCTAAAATGTTTTTCTCCAACTAAAGATTAAAAAGCCCAGTGGGTGTGGCTCTGTGGTTGAGCACTGCCCTGTGAACCATAAGGTCATTGTTTCCATTCCCTGTCAGGGCTCACGGCCAGGGTTTCAGGCTCAATCGCCCTAGGGGGGGCAGGGTGCAAGAGACAGCTAATCGATGATTCTCATTATTAATGTTTCTATCTCTCTCTCCCTCTCCCTTCCTCTCTCTGATATTAATAAAAACATATTTTTTAAAAATTACACAAACTAGCCAAAACCGGTTTGGCTCAGTGGATAGAGCATCAGCCTGGGGACTCAAGGGTCCCAGGTTCGATTCTGGTCAAGCGCATGTACCTTGATTGCGGGCACTTCCCCAGTGGAAGCTGTGCAGAAGGCAGCTGATGTTTCTCTCTCATCGATGTTTCTAACTCTCTATCACTCTTCCTTCCTCTCTGTAAAAAATCAATAAAATATATTTTAAAAATAAATAAATAATTACACAAACTATTATATATGATATAACCAAATTTGCCCTCATCAGTAAACCAACTGTTTAAAAGCTACAGAAATTAACAATTGATTATTCAATAAATCAAAAGTTACTTTTGAGCCGAAACCTGTTTGGCTCAGTGGATAGAGCGTTGGCTTGCGGACTGAAAGGTCCCAGGTTCCGTTCTGGTCAAGGCATGTACCTTGGTTTCGGACGCGTCCCCAGTAGGGGTGCACAAGAGGCAGCTGATCAATGTTTCTCTCTCATCGATGTTTCTAACTCTCTATCCCTCTCTCTTCCTCTCTGAAAAATCAATAAAATATATATTTTTTAAAAGTTACTTTTGAGACACAAAAATGAGAAATTTAAATATTTCTTAAAAACAAATTTCTGAGATCAAGATAAGATCGTATTTTTCTCATTAGGCCAAGAGAATTTCTTAATCACTTTACTCAGGAAAACAGGCAGTTTAAGAGGCTGCATTCTAGATTACGTATACTTTGTAATAATCAACAATATAATTTCACTAATAAATGAATTCTGTTCAAAATATAGAACTTCTTAAAAACCTATTTTGTAGCCCCCCTCACCTTGGTCCAGCCAGCCAGTCATCAGTTGGCACTGCATGTTTTCATGCATGTGTGAAAGTCACACTGAGGTAATACCCCCTCTTTAACTGAGAGCCAGAATGTCTTTATTTAAGGGGTCGGGGGTACAGGAGTGGAGTATAAAGTGGGAGAGAGTCACTGAGTAGTTGCCTCCTGCACACCCCCAATCTGGGCTGTGGATTGAGCCCTGCAACCAGTATGTGCCCTTGACCGGGAATAGAACCCGCAACAACTGCAGGCCAAAGCTCTATCCACTGAGAAAACCAGGCTAAGGCTGGAATACCTTTTAAGAAATGGGTATAAGTTAAGGAGTGAAGAAATGCCACCCTAGATAAAAGTTAGGTAAAAAATATTGATGATCAGTGTTGTTCTAACAATACAAACTGAAAGTGAAGAACAGAAAGTTTCAAAATAATGTTTTAATATATCAGTACATAAGAAAATAAGAGGAAAAAGGCATGTGCTCTTTGGCAGGTAGGGAAAGGAGCTTTGGAAGGTGATCTAATCAGGTAAAAGAAAACTTACCAAATAGAATTTGGCCTAGTAAGGTATTAATTATTGACCCTATTGGTCAATAGAGGGTTCAATATTTTTCATCAAAAATTAATATTATCACCCTAGCTGGGTAGTTCAGTTCATTAGAGCATTATCCCAATACCAAAGGCCTGGTGCACAAAATTCATGCATAGGGGTGTGTGTCTCTCAGCCCAGCCTGCATCCTCTTCAATCTGGGACCCCTCGAGGGATGTCCGACTAATTCATCCCGGTAGGATCAGGCCTAAACGGGCAGTCAGACATCCCTCTCACAATCCAGAACTGCTGGCTCCCAATTGCTTGCCTGCTTGTCTTTCTGATTGCACCTAACTGCTTCTACCTGCCAGCCTGATCATCCCCTAATCATTCCCCTGCCAGTCTGATTGATGCCTAACTGCTCCCCTGCCAGCCTGAGTGCCCCTAACTGCCCTCCCCTGCAGGCCTGGTCACCCCCAACTTCCCTCTTCTGCCAGCCTGGTCACCCTTAACTGCCCTCCCCTGCAGGCCTGGTCGCCCCCAACTTCCCTCTTCTGCCAGCCTGGTCACCCTTAACTGCCCTCCCCTGCAGGCCTGGTCCCTCCAAACTGCCTATTTTGTGGACCATCTGGTGTCCAGATGGTGGCAGCCATCTTGTGTATTGGAATGACAGTCAATTTGTATATTATTATTTTATTAGATAGGATGTCAAGGTTTTAAACTTGATCCCTCAGTAGGGCACATAAAAGAACCAACCAATGAATACAGAAGTAAAACAACAAATCAATGTTTCGCACTTTCTTCCTCTTTCTAAAATCAATCAATAAAAATATTTTTAAATTAATATTCTCAAATTACTACTGTTTGGCAACTCATAATTTTAAAGCATTTCCATCTATTTTTAAGCTTTTAAGAGGTGTGTTTTTTATTTCTAATTCATCTTCAACCCATTATTCCTGCTTTCCTAGTTTTTTCTTCCTTTACATTTTTCTCCTTATTTTCAGACTATTTTTTCTGCTCTTCTATATTTGTGATAGGCAAAAACCAGAACATAAATGTAAGTATTGTAATGCAAATGGTCAATAACAGAAATGGCTAAAATGGAGGATTAGCTGGAACAACCTAAAAGGTTATAAAATCACCAGTTTCTAACATTAGCAAACTTGATTTGATAATATTCATTTTGACCAAAGTGTCCTGTTCAAAAACTTT